AGATCTGGGGATTTGATGGAGATGCGGACGGTGGGTGATGAAGATCAACCGGTGTTTCTTGATGAATGAAGTTTCTGGCGAGCTTCTTGAAGGATTTTGCTGATGATTTCTGGAAAGTCGAAGGAGGATCTTTGACGTTTTCTGGGTTTTAGATGATGATCGGAGATGGAAGTTGGCGGCGGTTGGACGAGATGAGGAAGACGAAGATGAGAGGTTTCTGGGATTTTGGTGGGTTTCCGGTGAGGGGCGCGGTGGCCGCCGGCCATGCATGCCGGCCGGTGGGGTGTTTCAGGCGAGGGTTGTGGGCGTTGTGGTGATGCCACGTGGTGTGATGGTGGTATGCATGCTGACCACGTGGCAGGGAGAGAGAGTGTCTGGGGGCGACGTGGCGTGCGTGGAATGTGGAAATGTGGGACCAGCCTCTGGCAACACGTGGCGAGCTTTGACTTTATAGCTGAGACTTTCTGGGAGCTTCTAGAACACTCTGGAAAATGCTGGAAACAGCTGGACGAAAATGGACTCTTTCTGAACTTTTGTTGAATGAATTGGGCTTTGCTGACTCTGGGCCCACACGAAAATGATAGGAAAAAACCAAAAACTGAAATGAATTAGCCCAATTAACCTAAACCTAATTAACTATTAAACTCAATTAATCCTAAAAATTCTAATTAACTCCTAATTAATAATACTCTAAGAATTCCACTAATCAACTCTATTAAGTCTAAAATTGATTAAATTTCTATTAAATCCCTAATAAAACTATATTATTCTAAAAAAAAGATAAAATCTATTTATTTCTATAAAATGAAAAATCTATATATTATATTCTAAAAATTCTAAAAATGATTAAAAATCTATCAAAAAACCATTAATACTCTAAAATGACAAATGTTATTTAAAAAGAATTAAAACTATTAAAAAAAAATCCTATTAATATTCTAAAAATGAATTAAAATCTATTAAAAAATCCTATTAAATCCTACAAATGATTAAAAATCTATTAAAACCCTAAAAAATGCCAATAAAATCCAGAAAAATCACCATAATTCCCGAACGACACATAACACTGCGAGAGCGCAACAAAATAACCGGTAAAAATAAACGGGCACCGAAATATCCCAAAAATCGATTCTACCTATTTAAACTGATAAAAAAAACCCGAAACACAAGACGAGAGCTGTGATCCCTGATAAAATCAATACCAATGCAAAATGCAATGTATGCAATATGCAGATGCGAATGCGATTATGCGTCGAAACATCGAGCCCGATACGAGACCCGGTTGGTCAAATTTTGGGGTGCAACAGACATCCATCAAACGTTTTCTTTTTGGTCGTGTACAAACTATATTAAATACATTATCATGAACTTTAAGAGTTCGAATTGATTTTGGGATCAATATTGATGGTGGATTTGGTAATCTTGAAATGTTAATGGGCTTTAGTGATTTATTCTTGTCATATTTTTTGAAATAATACAACTTGGGCCATGATCATTATTGGCATCCTTGAATACTACTACTTGCACCCATAGTCACTATAACATTCTTAAATCCCGGAATCCATTTAAAATTGAACTTGAACAACTTTAGATCCTTCATTAAAAACACTCTTGAGCCCTGTTGAACCACAAATTCTCACCAGAATCATGAACATGTCTTGCCAATAAGAGTTGTGACTTGAAAAATGACTTGCATTACACACAATCCTGACTGAAACTGGATTCTTGATGATATTCAACCACAAACCCATGATGACCTGGCACGGTTTTGACAATCAGAAATGGCACATAAACCCTAGCTTATACCTCTGACACACCCCTCTTGAATTGTGCAACACTAGCCTCAATCTTGAAACCAACCTTGTCTGACCAACTTAAGTCAAACTAGATAAACTGTAAACACAATTGACCTGATACTTTGCCTGATACTCGACACATGATCTTAAGATAACAAGGAAGACAACAACATATATATATATTTTGACTTTTTGAATAATGTTAGTTGGTGGATGTACATAATGGAAAGTTATACATGGGTAGGAAAATTTTGGGGTATGACAGTTGTGTTTATAAGTGGGGGGCAATCCTCACCTTACAAGCCGATTTTGTAGGGTTGAGTTAGGACCAACCCAAATTCTAAGATGGAATCAGAGCCTATCCTAGATCTATTGTTGAGCTTATCGCATCGTCTACGCTTTAGGCTCATTAAGGCCCAAGCGTGAGGGGGTGTGTTGGACTTTCTGCCTTAATTGTGGTCCGCCCCTAGTCACCTTAATTGCGACACTTTGGCTTGCCTTCATTACAGCCCCTAACACCATTGTGTTGGCTTTTAAGGGGTGGATTTAGTCTCACATTGCTTAGAGATATGGTCTGTGTTGTGTTTATAAGTAGGGGAAATCCTCATCTTACAAGCCGGTTTTGTAGGGTTGAGTTAGGCCCAACCCAGATTCTAAGACAATGCAATAATGGTTAAGCATAAAAAGTCAACAAAAGCCAACTTTATTTAGTTGACCAAATTCCAACCAAATGAGGGTTTCCCAAGTCCATAACCAATGATGCAATCAATCCTAAACGAAATGGTTCCGAATTGTCACGAACCAAAACTAAGGTTTCAAGCCTGGATTCATAGGATAGACTTTCTAAAATGATTGCACTACCGAAGTCCTTAGAGCTTGATTCTTGTGCAAACCCTAGCTTCTTGTCAGCTGTAAATATCACAAACCTATAATCCATGATGTATGTTGATATAATGGATGATATGGATGCATTTGACATGAATGAGTGCAGATGAATCTCAAACCAAAAGTCAGATGAAAATTGAAAATGGAATGTCAAATTTTGGGGTATGACAAGAGCAACTAATGGCACTCTACCCATTTAAAAGATAAATAGGAATTATATATCTACATTTGGGAATCAATAAAACATCAAAAGGTGCGATCAACAACTTAAGATTAACCTCAATCCCATAACGACACTTGAGTGCACTCGAGTGTTATATTGACGTCACCATCCTGTTACCATAGAAGCCTATGGCCACATGGAGAGATCACGTTACGAAACATTTTCAATTACAAGACAAACACTTAATGTGCTTGTTCCCAAGATCACCTGCTCCCACTCAATGCACCCCCGACCTTTTCCCCAACAAAGAGGTTTTCCTATAAGCCTAAAAAAACATAGGAGAATGGTTTGGAGGTCAGTCTCAATATTTATGTCATTAGCTATTTGCTTGGTAGCAAAGAGTTGGTAGGTAACTATTTCGACCAAATGGTCTAACAAGACTGTCCCAATACAAGATTCTCAATCCAATATACTCTCATTCAATATCAACGAACAAGTGGACTTTTGCCAAAAGGACGCACACCATAGTCAAACCACTTGCTCATCTTAAGTCGTCAAATTCAACCCAAATGTCTCCTACTATTCATATCGCGTCTGCCGGGAGGGTTTCAATCGTACACCATATATAAACTCGGTTGTACATCACAACATGTACATTTTAATTCACACTTGCAAGTATCACATCTCTAATCTTGTTGACTTGAGAGTAGAAGTGTTAATATTACAGATACATCCCTGCTCTGTCGTATCAAAAACTTACGCCATTGTACCATAAAGTTTTTACACTTCCATGAACACACCACCAATGGTCTATTCTACGTCAGAATACTAACTATACACTTAAACTCATTTGGGAGTCTAATAAATGAAAACTTTAGTAAAAAAATGAAGGCATATATAGTCTCTAAGTCCTTTAACTTAATTTAATGTTTTGTTTTAGTCCCTTAACTAAAAAGTGTTACAAGTTAGTCTCTTAAATTCATTTTTGTTAGCCTATTCGGTCCTTTCCGTCAATTTTTGACAAAAAAATATTAAATTATGGTGACACGGATGTACTACAAGGCTCAAAGGCCACATTTGTTCTATAAAGTAGGTTTTCACTTAATCTGTTCTTAGATTAACATTGTTTATATTTACTTAGGGCTTGTTGAACTTAAGTGAAAATTCTATTTTATAGTACAAATATTGAGTCACATTTTGACCTTGAATCTTGTTGTACATTCACGTCACCGGAATTTAATGTTTTTATTTATTTATAGAATTTGACAAAAATGACGATTTAAACTAAAGAAGTGAATTTAAAGGACTAACTTATAACATTTTTTAATTAAAAGATTAAAGTGAAACATTAAATTAAAGAGACTAAAAAAATGTATTAAGTCAATCATAAAATATGGTTCTGGAATGTTTATAAATTTTTTATAATATGTGAAACTCAAAAATAAATATTAGTGAATGACTTTAGAAATTTGATAAAATTTTAAAATTATTTTCATGACTTTCGAAATTTGATAAATATTTTAAATTATTTTAATTTTCTATTGTAAGTACAAATCTAAAAATATGTCAATTATTTACATTTTTTTTATTCTCTAAAAAATTCTATTAAATCACCGATAAAATTACTCTTTTCCTCTATTCTATCCATAAAGTCTTTTCATTTCTTCCTTTTCAAATTCACAAATAGATCAAAAGAATTGAAAACGTTAAGGTAATAATATTTCTTAATAGTTTTAAAAATGTAATTGGGTGTCAAATATCCACTTTCTTTAATTACTAAAGATAATACTATTATTTTCACATTGGTAGTTGTAGCTAAATGTAAGGTACCTTATATTAAATATCATATGGAATATATAAATATATATTCAAACTCATCAATAACAGGGCATTTGGTCTAGTGGTATGATTCTCGCTTTGGGTGCGAGAGGTCCGGAGTTCGATTCTCCGAATGCCCCATTTTTTAATTTATTATTTATTTTATTATTTATTTAAAAATTTATAATAATATTTTATTGTTGGCTATTTTTATCCATCTTCTTCTTAAGCCTTTCATTTCATTCCGATTCGTTTCATCCATTTCCTTATCCTATTTTTTCTCCATCTTCTCTCTTTTTCTCTCTCTCACTCTTTCAATTTTCCAACACAGCCCAACAATGGCTTCAACAACCGCATTCGCAACCATCTCAACCGTCACACGCTCTTATCCTACACACTCCTCTTATCCTACACACTTCCCCAAACCAATCACAACCGTCCATTTCCCATCCCCAACAGCACCTCTCTCCCACCGTACCACTCGCCTCCACCGCATCACCGCCGTCTCCGCAGAAGTCGAAAAGCTCGGCAACGAGATCTCCGGCCTCACACTCGAACAGGCCAGAAACCTAGTCGACTACCTCCAAGACAAACTCGGCGTAACCGCCGCCTCATTCGCTCCCGCAGCCGCCGCTGCTGCTCCCGCCGCGGTGGAAGTTGCTGTCGTGGAAGAACAAACAGAATTCGATGTGGTTATTGAGGAAGTCCCAAGTACCGCGAGAATTGCGGCGATTAAAGCGGTTAGGGCTTTGACGACTCTGGGATTGAAGGAAGCGAAGGAGTTGATTGAAGGTTTGCCTAAGAAATTCAAAGAAGCTGTTTCGAAAGATGAAGCTGAAGAGGCTAAGAAACAACTTGAAGGTGCAGGTGCTAAAGTTAAAATTGTTTAGGGTTTCGTTTTTTTTTTCTTCCCCAATTTTAATTTTGAATTGTTGTTGTAATTTCAAGTTGTTATTATGGTGTTGTAGTGAAGAAAATTGAGTTAGTTCTGGTTTTGTTATTATTAATCTAAATTAAAAACGAATTATTTGGATGGTGTATTAATTTTATTAAGTGTTTTATCTTGCATTTGAATTTGAATTTAATGTTTTTTTTAACATCTCATAGCTGTGAGGTTTTAAATTTGAACTCAGAATAAAGTGCTTGGAACTTTCCAATCAATGTAGTTTGTGTTAAATTGAAAATGAATAGATAAGGCTAAAAATATTAAAGATAAGTTAACTTTTCTTCTTCTAATTTTCCACTGATATATGGATTTTGCTTGTGCAATATATCTTATCTAGACTTCTAAGTTCTACCACAGCAGCAACTATAACCACAGTCTCAACCTTTGTTTGGATAAGATTTAGGATAGGGGGTGGGTATTGAATTGCATCAGTAGGTTGATATGTTATTTCTATGAATTAAATTAGAAAATTGAGTTGAGCTCTAGTTTTATTTGGCCATTGCAAAGAGTGAAACACAGTTGAGGTTGCACTGAGATTTATCTGTTATGGAATAGCAAGTTTGTATCAGAAAAATAGAGAAAATTTTGAGGTCAGAGTAATGCAGCTCGATTCAAATAAAGGCAACTACTAGTACCACAGAAAATGACTGCTATTGCTTAAAAACTTGCATGGCTCTTACTCCCAAGTTTCTCTCATTATACTATGAAATATATTAGACCGGTTAGAAAAAAAATGTGTCATATAATGTAATAATAACAGAGGTTGTATTCAAATATAGGAGACTCAGTTAGGCCAATTCAATGTAAAGTGCATGTTTGGAGCTTTAATTTCAACAAACCATCACAGACAATTCAAACATGCACGTATATTTGTTTCAATTACACTTAAGTTTTTATCATATTAAGAGAATGAATGGGTAATAGGCAGCCTAATTTTGAGCCAAACATGTGCTTTCCAATCCAAGCGGGCGTGGTTAGGAGAAATCTCCAATTATTTTACTCCTTTGATTTTTCTGATGGGTTGCTCCTCACACCCTCAGTGTAGTGTTTGAAGAGTCACCCTTGTAAAACTCAAAAATTGACGTCTCATCACATCGGTGAATAGTCACTTTATAAAATTTAGAATTATACTTCCGTACACACTTAAAATACACCATATTCATTCGTAAGCGAGTCACTAATCCCATTTTGCCTAAAATTAATTTGAAAGTGTATTTACGTATTGATGGATGGATGAGTTCGTATTCACACTTCCGTAATATTCTTTGGACATATTTTTAACTCATGATAGTGTTCACAATTCGAAAGTATACTTCTGGACTAACCCTCAAGGCAATTAGTTTTCATTCTAGGAAGTAAGTTTGTTATAAATTTGACTTTAGACCATTTATATTAAGCTTACGTGATTGTTATTCATTAAATCATACATTGACGTAATTCAATTGAAATGTTACATATTAATTAAATTAAAATCCATGACCAAAAAACATTATTGTTAACAAATTACAAATCATATTAGTAAAATACAAGTAAAAGTGAACTACTAGTTATATCTATCCCCCCCCCCCCCCCCCCCCCCCTTCCCCCTGCGCGCGCTTTCTTCTGTCCTTGTCGTACCGCAAGATATTTTGCATTCTCATCTAGCTTAGCCTCTATAGTGACCCTCTTAGGAGTACCTTCAAAAAACTCTTCACTCTTTATATTCGCTCGCTCAATAGCCACAATACGCAGACATCCATGTAACAATCAATGGCATGATTTGCTTTAGTCTGCTCCTATTTTAATATCTCTTGATGAGTTGGTCTAGGTGGCTCTCCCTCACAATCTGATTTCATGTTAGGATTGACACTCTAGTACAAATGATTATAGAAATCATCAAACATCGCACCAATATCTCTGCGTACAATAGTGGGAGGAGTAGACACAATGGGGTTTCTTGGAAAGAAACCCTTCCTGTAGAAACCTGAACTGGTGCATGACCCGTTCATGCATATGTGGACAAATCAGGTGCGATCTACAAGCCAACCATCTGGAGTAGAATGTTATGTCATCCAAGGGACGAGTCTGACAGTCATCGTTGTACGTGTGTAGCGTATATCATATGCTCTGATGTGGTCAAGAAACACTTAGAACATTTTAATCGCCTGGTTCCTTTTGAGCAGGATGAAGGAGCAAGAACATGGTCAAACCTCATTGTATTCATCCTTATATGACCATTTGAAGACACGTGGAAAGTGAGAGAGGATCCATGCTTGAAATTGGTTCATAAAAAATATTAGTAACAGTGTAGCACAAGTGTTTTGAAATATTAGTAATAGTAAATATGATGTGAGATTTTGGGTCAAACTCTAGCTCTGAGGGATATCTTTCATGTATTTTGACAGGAGACAAGTGTGAAGTTGAAGATAGATTGCATGTTGCAGTCGAAGGATACATATTGTAGTTGAAGTCTGTTCTAATATGTATTGTCAAAATGTTTGTCAAATTAGGCCTTATGTTATGGATCCAATTGTTTAGTTAGCTTGTATTGTAAGTTAGATAGTTAGCCTATATATAGGCTAGATCACTCAAGATGTTGAGTGAGGCCAAAATTGTGTTATTCACTTGTAACCACTTGTTATATTGAGAAAGTGAATAGTAGAGCAATTTTGCCCAAGAAACCTTCTTTTTCTTTCTTTATCCTTTCTTCTTACTCTCTTTGTTCTAACATATTTTATTGTTCACCCAAAAACTTTATTTCTCAATCTTGATTTTTTTGAAAGGTATCGTTTGTGATCAAAATGAACTGGTGCGGTGAGCGTGGAGAAGATGTCATTAACAAAGTTTGAAATTGAGAAGTTCACCGGAGTTAATGATTTCAGTTTATGGCGTTTGAAGATGCAAGCCCTTCTTGTTCAACAAGGTTAGCTAGAAGCGTTAAAGGGAGAAGATGTCATGGATGTTGCATTGACGGAGAAGGAGAAGACAACGATGATTGAGAAAACCCACAGTGCAATTGTTCTAAGTCTTGGTGATAAGGTTCTCAGGCAGGTTTTGAAGGAGACAACGACAACTAGTGTTTGGCTGCAACTCGAAGGATTGTATATGACAAAGTCCTTGGTGAATTGTTTGTACTTGAAGCAAGCTTTGTATTCATTCAAGATGAAGATAAAGCATTGACAGAGGAGTTGGATACGTTCAGCAAGTTGATTCTTGATCTTGAAGATATTAATGTTACTATCAATGATGAAGATCAAATGTTGTTATTGTTGTGTTCTTTACCTAAGTCACATGCTCATTTCAAAGAAAGCCTCTTGTATGGAAGAGATTCCTTGACCTTTGAAGAAGTTCAAGCAGTTTTGTATTCGAAGGATTTGAACAAAAGAAAGGAGCAGAAACCATCACCATAATGTGGCGAAGGGTTGCCGTAAAAGGGAAATCATCGAAGAGAGGTGGTGGGTTTGAGAAGAAGAAAGGTAAAACTCAATAAAAGTCTTATGGTGGTGATATGTCTGGGATTAAGTGTTATCATTGTAAGAAGGATGGTCATACAAGAAAGATATGCCATGAACACCTGAATAGTCATGGAGGTAAGGATAATGCCAATGCAACTAATGTGCAAGATGATTATGAATCATCTGATGTCCTTGTGGTGTCGAGCAGCAACTTTTGCAAAAAGTAAATTATGGATTCTGGATGTACTTGGCATATGACTCCAAACAAGTACGTGTTTGAAGAATTATGTGATCAAGATGGTGGATCAGTGTTGTTGCGAAACAATAAAGCTTGCAAGATTGCAGGTATTGGGTCTGTAAGATTCAAGTTCCATGATGAGTTAATAAGGTTATTGACTAGGGTTAGGTATGTACCTGGCCGTAAGGGGAATTTGATTTCTCATGGTGAATTCGACAAGAAAGGATATATCTTCAAAGGAGTATCCTGAAAGTCATGAAGGGGTCGAAGTAAGTCTTGAGAGGCGTGAAGAAACAAGGCTTGTATACCCTTGATGTTGTGGTTGTAAGTGGTTCAACAGATTTTGTATCCACGAAACCTGTGTCGATAACAAAATTATGGCACATGAGATTGAGCCATGTCAACGAAAGAGTTGTATCCACACAAGGATTTCTCTTAAAGTATTCACACCAATATTATTATAATTTTATGTACATCCAACTTGTTGGAAGTAGTTGTGAAGGAGCCATCACCAGATGCTTAAGAACTTATACTTCAAAAGTAGTGAAAGGCAGACAAAGAATCATAAGTGAGATAATGCATTGATAAAAAGGAATGACACAGTCTCATACTCACTGCATATCCTTTTATTCTCGTTAGGGGTCAAGACACCCTAATTATAAGATGGGAAAACTTTAAGAAAGGTTCCATCAAGATTGCCTTCTTTAGAAAAAACAAAAACAGTGGAAGAGTAGACAAAGTCCAATCAAGAAGATTGAGCATTCTTCTAGGATTTGTTAGCACTCTTCTATGATTTTTTTAACCCATAATGCACTAACGTTTTTGGATACAAGAAAGAAAAGTATCAGAACAAAGGAATATAACATCAATTTGGGAGAAATTAATCAAAGAAATACAACACCTACTCTTCAAAAATTGTACGATAATATGCAAAAGAAAGTAGACTCTATCAAATGTGTCAAATCATTCGCACGTAACACTTGAATGTTTTAGTTCCCAAGGGTCATATTGATGGTGCCTCTAAAAAATGTTTGAAATATGAGTCATTATGATTGATGAGACCTCTGCTTGGGATTGGAATTCTGGTGATGCAACTAACAAGCCATTGATGAAGAAAGTTGTGAGAAAGAAAAGATTCCAGCTAATGAAGTTCCAGTCACATTCAAAGTCTAAGAAAACAATAGATAGGGTGTGCCTAGCCAAAGACCTCAAAGAACCAGAGTTTTCCCAGCTAGGCTTCAAGATTGTGAAGTGGTTGGTGATGATAAAATC